TAAACATCAAATGAGTGATTAATTGGGATTAATCACATTCAAGCCCTAATTTTACCTTAAAGCCGTGAGATTAAGTGAAATTTTCCCAATTTTTCAAGCAAATGCCGTAGCCTTTCTTAAGTGTGAGGAAAGGTTTTATTGACCAATCAAAACTTGTCATTTGGCCACTCATGAGAGTGCTTAGTCACCACAAGGTTGTTCACTAATCACCAAGTGTTAATATGGGAGGAAGCCACGCCCACTTGACGTAGCCAACACCACACGGCCGATCATCTATATAAGGAGTGGTTTGGGAGAAATTTCGTCACTTTTTTCCCTTATAGACCGAGCACCTCTTCCAGCATAATTAGTCTCTTTGTTCAGCAGCTCTTAAATTAAACAACTCTTCCCAAAAGTTCACGGCAATCGCACGGCAAACCGAAGCTACCGCACGGCGTTCACGCGAGGAGAAGCTACGCTTTAATTTCGATCTCCATCGAGCGTTCAGGAAGGTAAACTTCCCTTCAGTTCATAGACTTGATGATTAGGTCATCTTGTAGTTTAGTGTTCGGATAAATTGCCGAAAATTTCAGATTTGACCATGAAAAAGCCGAACATATTTGAGTAGGGTTATGCCCGAGTTAAGTTTATATTTTTCCGGCAAGTCCCGAGCATTTATTAGTTGTTTAGCCTCTATTCAAAGTAATAAGTTCAGTTAAGTGTAATTGGCCGATGAAAAAGCGAGGATTGCCGGTGAATTGGCCAAAGCCGTAGCTAGTGCCGATCGCACGTGGCTACGGGCGGCCATGAGGCATGAGTTCATAAGCTACCACTTCCCAGTCGGAGGGGAGCCTGCTGAACTCCCTGAAGCCATCGATTTCGGCTGCAGGAGCACAAGAAAAGGAGGTTAAGAACGGCTAACTTCGTCAGAGGACATATTACAGTTGAGGACTCGACTTAGAGAGCCATTACTTATTAAAAAAAAAAGGGGACTGATACGTACGAGATGACTCAAAACCTAAGGATACCTCGAGGGATTAAGTTAAGCCGGAGGGTCTCGGGGTCCGCATAAAGAGTGCCCGACAATAATGCCTGGTTATACACGTCCCAGTAGATGCCAAAGGGCGAGGCGTTAGAAGTTACGAAGCCTTCGGTTTTGACATTTCGACTAGCACTAGTTTTGACATCGAGTATCTCAACGGAGGCAGAGCCTGAATATCCGTCGATTTCAAGAGCGAGGGAGCCGGAAACAGGATCAGGGGCGAGGGAGCCGGAACAGGATCAGAAATAGGGGGAGAGTCGGGATCTAATAAGGAAAAACAGAGAAAATGATAATCAAAGGACGAAGGTAATCATAACTACGGTTCGACTCCGAGATTAAGTCGTCGAAAGATTGAGAAAAACGTGTAAATCGAGTCGAAATAAGAGAAAGGAAAGACCGAGAAGAGTGCGTAGGGCATTTTTGCTTCACTCGACTCGGCACAAGGATGACAGATCAAGGGTAACCAAAGAGGCAGAATTAGTTTTTCATGTCAAATCAGCTATTGGACGAAAACACTCAAGAGGAATGGAAGATCTGTGACTAAAGATCTAACAAGGGAAAACCGCTAGAAACTCATCCAAAAACCCCCAGAAAAACCGACGAACAGGCGAAGCCCCAAGCATATTACCCAGAAAAATAGAATTCTTATTTTGAAACACAGCAATAAATCGAAAAGCAATGAAAACTTACTCATACTCATGATGATTGACGGAGAAGTCCTAGAAAATCCAAGAAGAACGTCGGAAAATGAGAAGAGTGCCGGAAAGCTAGAAATATTGTATTTGCCGAAGAAAGAGAGAGTTCAGAGAGTCTGAGTGCGAAAAGTGAAGATGAGAAAATGGGAGGGGTACTTATAGGGAAAGTAAAGGAACCCCAGCCCTTAGATTAAAGGCAGATCTGACGGATGAAATGATGCACGGAATACGAAGCGGTGGAGAGAGAAACGTCTTATAAGATTCCAAGCCTTTTTGAATTTTGAAATTCGAAAAGAAATCCGAGTTTATCTGAACAATATGAGAATTTCCTTAAGAAGAGCCTCTCGCGAGTCGAGATTTGGGCATACATAGTCGGGAATAAGGAGAACGGCTAAAAGAGAATCCTGCGAGGATTCAACCGACAAATCTACTCGTAAGCTCAGAGTCGCTTCGAGTAATTTTCATGGGGGACTAGATGATATAGCCATACCATCCTATAGCGGCCTATGTTGTCCCGGTTTGAACATTGCCGAGTCGACTTACCCGAAGTCGACTCCACTCGCATATCTCCTCGTGATAATATATTCTGTCAAGGGTCTGGATCCTCTTCTTAGTCAACTTCTACCATGTCGACTAGCCCAAGTCGATTCCGTCCGGAAGGATGAATAAGCGCATTAGGGTCTACCAGCGATTGGGGAATGACCTAGTCAGCTCGAGTGGACATTTCAAGTCGACTGAAGTAGTCTTGGGGCTCATGGATCCCTGACGACTCCTAGACACTTCAACACATCAGAGGGAAACTATTAAAGGATAAGAAGGAATCTAAATGCCGACTAGGATATGGGCGGAATGCGAACCGACCGAGGTATTCTGGAAATTTCTAGTAAGTCGGCCAGGGCAGTTTGGGGATTCTAGGTAAGGGTTTTTACTTCTATATAAAGGAGCTGAGGTAACCCCAACACCCTAACTCCCATTCATTCTACATTCTTCTCCATTACTGCTGTTGCTCTCTCAGAGTAGCTCTCTTCATCTCTTTCACATACTGACTTGAGCGTCGGAGGCTCTACGCCGGAAACCCCTCCGGCGTTGAGTTCTTGCAGGTGTTCTCGCGGTTCAGCAACGGTTTGGAGGCTATCGAGTCAGATCTGAGCTCATTCCCATCGGTTCACTCCAGATCTGGGGAGTTCTTGAAGGAAGTAAGAGCTTTTCACCTAGTTCCGATCTGTTTTCGATGGCCGAGAAGGAAGGACTGCAGAGAAACTTAAACGAGGATTTCAGGAGAGCATGGACAGATAAGCGACCACTGACGATCCCCTGCCCTAGACCACCTCTCCAGGTGCTGGGATTTCCACCATTCGGGATGCACGCGCCGGCGGGAGGGCGTGCGAGAGAAAAAACGCCAATTACCCCACCTGGAGTCAAGATTCTCGTGCTTACTCAAGGGGAGACCAGCCACGTGAAAAACACGAGCGGAGAAGTCAATGGTCGTGAGTCAACCGAGACGTCCCTAAGTCTGGGAAAGCAGCCTGGACCGCTTGAGCAGGAAAAGAGACCGCCGCCTCAAGTCGAAGAGCAAACGTTGACCATGACAAGGGGCGAGATGCAAAGAATGATTGCAGAGGCCGTGGCGGCCCAAATCAAACAAGCGCAAGTCGAAAAACTAAGGGTCGAGCGGCCCAGGATCGAACAAGAGAGGTTTGAGCAGCCTCAAAATGAACAACCACCCCCGGAGCGCGAGCAGCAAGCGTAGTCGCAGGAGAGGCAGAACAGAAGAGTCGATGAAGAGGAATCCTCTGTCAGGACTGTCAATCCACAGGCGAGGAATGACACCCTAGAGCAGTTATTAGCGCAGGTGTGAGATTTGCAGGCTCGAGTCGATGGGAGAAAAACAGGAAGCTCGAGGGGACACCCTTTTTCACAGCATATTCTAGACGCTGACTTGCCTCAGGGGTTTAGAGAACTTAACATCTGGTACGACGGGTCGACTGACCCCTCTCGACATCTGAGGAGTTTTGAAAACATGGCGGTATTGCACCGCTACAATGATCCCGTTCAATGTCGAGCATTCCTGATGACTCTGCGAGGACCTGCGCAAGACTGGTTTCATCAATTGCCCCCGGGAGCCGTCAGGGACTTTGACGAATTTAGTCCAAGTTTCCTGAATCAATTCGCAAGTGTAAAGGCCCAAGAAAAGTCTTACCTTACCCTGATAGGCATGCAAAAGAAAGAAGGAGAATCATTGAGGGATTACGTGGCAAGATACACTCGAGCATGTGTCGACGTCCCCTCAGCCACTGAGGAAATCAAGTCGGGGGGACTCACTAGAGGACTCCTCCTGGGATTGTTCAGAAATTCCTTGGCAAAGCGACCCGGGAGGACGTTCGATGAGGTCCTAGGAAGGTGCGCCGAATACATGAATGTCGAGGAAGCCGAAGCTGACTTTTTGCAAGCGGCTAAAGCAAAGACTGAATCCCGGGACGAGAAGAAGGATAAGAAACCAATCACGTCGGGAGAAAGGAAAGGATCCCAGAATTCAGAAAGGGAGGGGCGATCAAGGGGATGAAGGACAATTCAGTATACCCCCTGTCAGCCTCGAATGCAAGGATATTGGAGGTAATGGAGAAAGAAATTCGCGAAAGTGTTGTCAGGTGGCCACGGACGAGAAAGGATGGACCGAAAAAGCCCAAAAGTGATCTGTATTTTTGATTTCACAAGGATTACGGGCATAATACCGACGAATGTTGGCACCTGAAGAATGAGATCGAGAGACTAATCAAAGCAGGCCATCTAAAGGAGTTCGTTTATAAGGATCGAGATCGAACCAGTCGGCGAAGGGAGAGAAGCAAGAGCCCTCGCAAGAGAGCGAGGACACCCGACAAGGAGGAGCTCCCTCAGAAAAGATGAATAATTCATATGATATTCGGAGGGCCGACTGATGGAGATTCAAATCGGGCCAGAAAGGCATATGCTTGAGGCCGCCACGGAAAAATTTAAGTGAAACAGGTTGAGGAAAATGGTCCAGTGATGAACTTTGGGCCAGCAGACATGGGGGAGGTCGAGAGACCTCACAATGATACTCTAATGATCACTACTCAAATATCAGGCTATGAAGTGTAGAGGATCTTTTTCGACACGGGAAGCTCGGTGAATGTGATCTTTTACAATTGTCTTAAACGGATGGAACTCGACATCGAGCTTGCACCCCTGCACACCTCACTTTTTGGATTTAATGGCTCGGAAGTCGCACCCCTAGGAGAAACCACGCTCGCTATCGTCCTCGGGGAATGCGACTTGAAGAAAGTAAAGATGGTGCGATTTGTTGTAGTCGACGTCGAGTCGGCTTATAATGTGATTCTAGGAAGGCCAGCGCTCAACGCATTCCAAGCGGTAGTGTCGACCTACCACATGAAGCTGAAGTTCCCCGTTGGAGATAAAGTAGGGGAGGCCCGAGGAGACCAGAAGCTATCAAGAACTTGTTACCAGATAGATGTGGAAACAAACCAACGAACAGAAGTTGAGGGAAAGAAGCCGGCGATGAGCGAGAAAAGGCCAAGAAATAGTGATCTCGAACCACACGGGGAGCTAATGGGGATACAAATCGGAGATACGAAGAAACAGACCACTAAGGTCGGGAAAGATCTGAAAGACGAGCTGCGAAACCAACTCATCACACTACTAAAGGAGTTCAGGGATGTCTTCGCCTTCACCCCTGAGGAGTTGACGGGGATCGACCCCACTATTATGGAGCATAAACACAACGTTGACCCCCTCAGAAAGCCAGTAAAGCAACGACTTAGATGCCATGGTGAAGAAATCGACAAAGCAATTGAAATCGAGGTGGATAAGTTGCTACGAGCAGGACACGTCAAAGAGCTCCAATTTCCCGAGTGGATATCCAACACCGTGACGGTGAGAAAGGCATTAAACAAATGGCGCATGTGCATCGACTTCCGTGACTTAAACTTGGTCTGACCAAAAGATCATTATCCCTTACCACGAATTGATCAGCTCGTCAACTCTACGACTGGTTGCGAATTACTGAGTATGATGGATGCATTTCAGGGATACCACCAGATTCCATTGTGCCCGGAGGATCAGAGTAAGGTGAGTTTCGTGACGAGTAAAGGGACGTACTGCTATGTCGTCATGCCCTTTGGGCTTAAGAATGCTGGAGCAACATACCAATGGTTGATGGATCGAATGTTAAAATCTCAGATTGGGCGAAATATCGAGGTATATGTGGATGATATCTTGGTAAAGAGTAAGGCCTCAACCTCACACCCAGACGATTTAAGGGAAACGTTCAAAACCCTTAGGGCGTTCGGGATGAAGCTGAACCCAAAAAAGTGTGCCTTTGGAGTAAAGGCAGGACGATTCTTGGGGTATATCGTCACAGAGCGAGGAATCGAGGTGAACCGGGAAAAAGTGAAAGCCATACTCGACATGGCTCCACCAAGAAATATAAGAGATGTGCAAGTTCTAACGGGACGAATTGGGGGGCTGAGCAGGTTCATTACTCGAGCCGCAGAAAAAAGCTTCCCGTTCTTCAGATTACTCAAAAAGAAGTCGACCTTCTCATGGAGTGACGAAGCACAAACGGCCTTCGAAAAGTTGAAAGAATTCTTGGGTGAGCTGCCTTTGTTGACAAAACCAGAGCCCGACGACGAGCTGGTGCTTTATATATCAGTGGGTTCGGTATCACTAAGTTCAGTGTTATTGCGAGAAGAAGGAGGCGTCCAACAGCCAATTTACTACATCAGTCGAGTTCTTCAGGGCGCAGAGACGAGATACTCTGAGATCGAGAAAGTCGCTTTGACACTGGTGATAACGGCTAGAAAACTGAGGCCATATTTTCTGAATCATGTGGTAGTAGTCAGGACGAACTTCCAGCTGGGTGAAACATTGGGCCGACCTACGGTATCAGGTCGACTCGTTAAGTGGACAGTCGAGCTATGCGAATATTCCATCAAGTATGAGCCGAGGCGAGCCATAAAAGCTCAAGCCCTGGCAGACTTCATCCAAGAAGGTACCAAGGGAGAAGAAAAGAAATGGGTCATGCACATCGATGGGTCCTCAGCGGCCAAAGGTTCTGGTCTGGGAATCGTCCTCGTATCACCCGAGGGCGAGCAACTTGACTTTGCCATTAGAATGGGATTTAAGGCCTCAAATAACGAAGCAGAATACGAGGCGTTAATCAAAGGAATTCAACTCGCAATTGGCAGAGGAGCGTCCGAAATTGTGGCACATTCCGACTCACAATTAGTTGTTGGACAAGTGTTGGGAAGTTGCGAGATCAAAGAAGAACGAATGATGAAATATGTCGAGGAAATCCAAAGTCTTGTGCAGGGACTGGAGAACTTTGAACTAACACAAATCCCTCGAGAGAAAAATAAACGAGCAGATTGGCTCGCGAGAATCGCGAGCTCGAATGATGGGAAGGTTGGAAGCTCCATCACCATGCATCTAGAGGGAAGCGTGTTGGGCGAAATAATGGAAGTCGAGGAAAAGGACGACTGGAGAAAATCGATTCATGAACTCCTACAGGGTCGAGTACCTATGGGAGATAAGCAGGAGGCAGAAAGGGTCGCTCGATATCTAAGCAAGTATTTTGAAGTCAACGGTGTCATGTTCAAAAAATCTCTGGTTGGGCCTCACTTGCGATGCATCTCTAAGGACGAAGGAACCCATGTCTTGAAAGAAATACATGAAGGATGTTGCAAAGCGCATATAGGATCGCGAGCTCTGGCAGGCAAAGCCTTACGAGCAGGATACTATTGGCCCAAGATGCGGGCAATGGCGGAACAGCTAGTCCAAAGGTGCGAAAAATGTCAACGCCACGGGCAGATCACTCATATCCCCGTCGAATACATGACGACCATAAACACTTCGATCTCCTTCGCGCAATGGGGAATCGACTTGGTAGGACCATTGCCGACAGGGACAGGGCAGAGGAAGTTCTTAGTAGTCGCTGTTGACTATTTTACCAAGTGGGTCGAAGCGGAACCGTTGGCAAAAATTACGGAGGAAAAGATGATTCAATTCCTGTTTAACAATATTTGTTGTCAGTTCGGAGTTTCGAAAGTACTAATCTCTGACAATGGAACTCAGTTCCAAGGGAAACGAATTCAGGCATGGTGCCTTGACATGGGAATAAAGCAAAGGTTTGCCTCGGTCGCTCACCCCCAGGCTAATGGGCAAGTCGAAGTAACTAATCGAACTATTCTCCAAGGGTTCAAGAAGAGATTGAAGAGATTGAAGAGAGCATCAGGTGCTTGGGTCGATGAGCTGACAACGATTCTATGGGCCTATAGGACGACCCTGAGAAACTCAATAGGCCAGTCGCCATTTCACATGGTTTACGGAATGGACACACTCCTGCCTATCGAAGTAGGCTTAGATTCTCACAGGTCGACATTTTATGAGGAAAAGAAGAACGAGGAAATGATCAAAGAGGCCCTCGATATGATAGAAGAAGGGCGTGAGGAAGCCTGGGTACGATCCATGGAATACAAACAGAAGATGCGTGTAGCCTTCGACAGGAACGTCCACACCAGACGATTTTAGGTGGGAGATCTCGTCCTAAAACGAGCAGATGCTCTTAAACATGTCGGGAAGCTTGAAGCTAACTGGGAAGGACCTTACACCATCACCAAAGTACTCGAAAGAGGGGCAAATGAACTCGAGGATGATGAAGGACGACAGCTGCCGCGATCTTGGCATTTGATCCATCTCAAACGCTTTTATGCCTAAAAATAGCATTTTGAACTCTTTTGTACTGAACAATGCCTAGTCAAATTCAGTAATGCAACGACTCCCAAGTTTATGTTTAAGTTGTGTCTTTTACATTTCCATATCGATTTTATTATAACTACTTGAAAAATCGAATCTTTCGGAACGACTATGAAGCCGATTAACTCCAACGACTACAAAGTCGATCTAAAACGACTACGAAGTCGATCTAAAAATAACTACAAAGTTGTATGCCTCGAGCGAAATCTCGGCAAGGCTACGAAGCCTACGACTATAAAGTCGATTCGAACAACTACAAAGTTGTATGCCTCGAGCGAAATCTCGGCAAGGCTACGAAGCCTACTACTACAAAGTCGATTCGAACAACTACAAAGTTGTATGCCTCGAGCGAAATCTCGTCAAGGCTACGAAGCCTACGACTACAAAGTCGATTCGAACAACTACAAAGTTGTATGCCCCGAGCAAAACCTCGGCAAGGCTGCGAAGCCTACGACTACAAAGTCGATTCAAACAACTGCAAAGTTGTATGTCAAGTAGAATCTTGTCAAGGATATGAGGCCTACGGCTATAAAGTCATTTTAACTACAAAGTGTCAACAAATGAAGTGGCGATAAATTTAAGACTACGACGTTATAACAA